AACATTGGACAAATGATACAAACGTTAATTGAACCGCGTTATAATAGGAGATGTACATTGAGTGCATTATTTTATTGCATACGTCCTCCTTTAAAAATAAAGTATCCCATCTGAATGGCTTATAAAAGTATGTGATAAAAACTGGAGCCGTCTATCTGTCATATTTACCAAGAAAAGTTTATCACAAGTGAAAAAAAGTATGAGTTCATCATGAATAGGATACAATCAGAATTTATGATAAACTCAAACATTCTCATGGTTAGTCTGTAAAAATTAAAAACAGTTTCAATATCACTCTTCATATTCAAGTTCAGAATGTCTCCATCTCATTCTAAACATAGTTCTTAATAGAGTAATAACTCTCACAAAATGAATGAATTTTGATCGTATTGGATTCAGTTCTCGATAATGTTTATCAATTGTCAAGATAAACTTTGCTATTACAAAAAAACAATTTGAAGTTTTTCTTGTACATATTGAACAAATCGTTTTGTTAAATTCATAATAGTTTTTTGTTCATTTTATATAATCATTTTCAAAATTATTTTCTTCACACAACCGTAGTACACATGTTTTTTTATAAAATACGATCGTGTATGGACTTTATCTTCCATCTCTGTTTTATATAAATATTTGTAATAAATTCGATGTACAAATTTATTTAATAATTTTTCCTTTGGTGAATGAGATTTGGCTAATAATGATGATTCAGTAACGAAAAATGATAAACGAAATTCGTACGATGACTCATTTTTTTTGTGTAATTTTTGACCATTTTTGTATGGCATAAATAGATGAATGTTTAATTTTATTATGAATATGATATTTCTCATGTTTTAATTTGTTTAATCGACTGTGGGTTATTTGAGGCCAAAAATTGAGTTTTAAATCAATAACGCTCCATGTTATCGAAACCGGCGGTTAACCGCGGTTATTTCAGCTGAAACCATAGCAACACCGCAGAAAAACCGACGGTTAACCACACAATTAACCGGAAAAACGGTCGGTTAACCGCGGCTGGACAATCGTTTTTCCGGTTAATTGTGAGGTTAACCGGTTTCAGCTGAAATAACCGCGGTTAACCGTCGGTTCTTAAAATAACCGTGATTAACTGCCGGTTTTCATCCGGTTTCAACAACATGGGACAGCATCACAATCTTCTTCAGATTTTAATTTATCAAATGCATAAAAATCTTTTTTATGTACATCCTCATTTACCATAGAATGACATTTTTTATAGAAATCTAATAAAATATGAGTTTTAGCAAGAAAATTTGATAGTAATAGTATGCCAGCTACTGATGAGTATACTGCTTTTAATATATAAATAATTGATTATATGCGTTTCATTGAATCTCTAATAGTATCATCGGGCAAATCAATATGAAACAGGTCAAATATTTCAGCTTTTTCATCAAAGACATTAGATAAAAACGAACAACATTGTGACATATCTTATGTTAGATGTCTTAGAGAATGCCTAGTAAAATGTTTTTTCACTCCGTATAGAATTTAATTTTAATTATACTTATTATAAATAAGTGTCCAAATACCACACTGTAAATTGGGTCAGGAGTTATAAAAAAATCAAATGTAATTTTCAAAGAGTGCCTATATGATTTCATACTAGGAAGTCAAAAGCATTGAAATTTTTGAATTCAGCCTTTGTTAAGTTATCAGTCAGAAAGAAACTGTCTTCAAAAAACGTTCGAAAGATAGTTTGTTAACGGCCTATAATGACGTTAAAATAGCCCCAAAAGGGACATAATAAAATGTTCATTTATTTATCGTAAAAACTGCCACCTTTAGACTCGGCTTAAAAGATTCCTTCTGTGTTAACGAATCAATGTTTGCTTAAAGTTTTTTTCTATGTGACAATAGAAAAAACAAGAAATTTATTAAGTAACAAAAAAAGCAAAAACAACTTATAAAAAAACATGTGTTTTTACACAAAATCTTTCAAAATCTAGGTATTGTAGTTTGATTAATATAAGTACCTTAAGAAAAAGTCAATGAAAAGTGAATGTTACTATTGTAAAATAGTACCAGAGTTGACGTCATTTTAGAATAAATATTAAACTATCTAGTAATAAAATAAATTGGTAATTCTACAACAAAATTGAATCATTACCGACATGTTATCTAAACATAAAGTGAATTCGGAATACTAACAGCATTCAGCACTGTTCTATATTGAGGACGCATTTTACTCACTTGTTCACATGTAGAATATATTCATGAAATACTTTTTGTATCCATTTATAACTCCGCTATAACTTTTCATACTCATATACATTAGAATCACTTGAGATTGGTTTTAAATCATACAAATGTACTTTATCCAAAAGAGTATTCATTATCATTGAATCACAAACATTAACTCCAATATGGCTATTTGTTATATCTAAAAAATATATTGAAATATCGGAATATGCAAATTCTTGCATTTTATTACTCGATACAAAACTTGTCGAAGTAATGTAATCTTTTTCAGATGATTTAAAATGTACATACTTGTAATAGTAAGTATCAACATTATCCAAAATAATATAAGTTTCTTTGTATTGATTCGAACATATTATTACTACTAACGATAAACACGTTAGTATCAACGATAATTTACGCTTCATAATATTAAGAAGCGAAGACTTCTTCTTCTTCTTCTATCGACAACATAACTTCGATTCGTTTTTGTTTATCATCTAGTCAAAATCCATACATACATTAATAATTTATTCCAGACCAAAAAATATATATTATGATTAAACAAGTATTATGTCTCCTACTTGAACGTCGCAGAGTCGTAAGTGATGAGAAAATCTGTCTCTCTATTTAAACCAGTTCGGTCATTATCTCATTTAAAAGTAATATGAAATGTAAAGGAACTTTTTTACTAATAAAACGATAAATTATGTCATGCGTCTAGGTCGATATCACATAAAGGAACGATAACTTGTCGTCATCAGTATTTATATATGTTCGTTTCTCTAAGTCTTTATCTCTACAAACATGCACACATATACATACAAAATTTGAAACTTACTGCAATGTCGTTTTTCGTTGATCAATAAGAAATGTTTCTTCCATTAAATCTGTAAATTAAATTTTGTAAAAACTTCTAAGACTACGTCCGTTTTTCGTTTGAGGTTTAAAGACAAAAACGAGTTCGTATGGTTCCCCCCTAGTGTTTACACAGTCTGAATTTTTTCGATATTTTTATTTATACGTCTTAAAATAGTGTTTACACGGTCTCATTTGGTAATGACACAAGAGAGAAATAAACAATTTGCAACCTTAACGCGTAAAGGAAAGAAAGTAACTGATCAAGCAAAGAAAGACCACAAAAAACTGCTAAATCAAGTCAAATCGTTGCTCGAGATAGATAAGACTAGTCATTTTAAAAGCATAGCTATAAATTCGTTCCGTAAAGATAAATACGATTATCTAACGTCTATATCACACGAAACCAAACAGTGAATAATGATATTTCAAAGTAAAATATATTTCTGATTTTTGCAAAAATGTGTTTTGCTTCGCATCAGGCAGAAAGTTTATACAAATGCACAAATAACATTTTCTTTAACAGTCTCACTTTTTCTAATGGTACTATATTCGTTTTTGTGGAAACTTCCAAGGATTAGTTCGATTTTCGAAGGAAATGGGAGTTCGAGGTTTAAAGAAAAGGTCCTCGAAGTAAAAATGGGTCGATCAAAACTTGAGATAGGATTCCCCCCTAATGCTGTCAACTGCGTGGCTGTTAGTTTTAATGTTGGTCTTAATTTCTGTTTCTTCGTCTTGTTACTATTACATTGATTGATCATCGATGTATCAGTAAAGTCCAAGATCAACTACACTCTTTTTCAGTGAGTCAGCTACAAGATCAGCTACTTCTTTTTATCTGTGTTGTAGGGAGGAAGTTTTCACATTTTTGCTCTAATGGAGCGACGACGCTAACAAACTTTTTTTCTTAAGTTATAATGGCACTTTATGAGACGTTGAAAATCTATTTAACATAGAAAGTTTAGTTAGTTCATTACAAAATGAAAATACCGTTTTAATAAATTACACTGGCAACAAAAAAATGGAAATATGCTTTTTTTTTTATACAAAACACAACAAAAAAAAACTTTTTATCACGCTTACATCAATGATAAGTAACTTAGTACAAAAACAAGTAATAGAATAAGAAAATGTTAGATTTTCAATAAATGGTGTGTTATGAGAGAGTATTGGTGTCTAAAGTTATTTACTAAAACACCTTCACTTACGATTGTAAAAGAGAAAAAAAATGCGGTATTTTACACATTGAACAAACAACAATAATTTATGAGGTGTCACGGAGAAACTAAAGTTACTGGTAAAACAAGCAGTTACATAATCTACCAGTATGTTAGTTTCAAAAGAATAGTTCTAGTTGTTTGTAAGAGTTGGACAAGTATTAAATGCTAGAATCGATGTCCTCTCTACTCATTCGTAATTGTCTTAAAGATTAAACAACATTAAAGACGATATTGAAAGCAAGAGTGAACAATTATAAACAAATGGAGACGAAACTGCTAGAATCTGCGTTGTAAATAAAACTGATCTACTAAAAGTGAAAAACGTTTGTAGTATTTGGCTTCAATATAACGATTTGTTTTTAGCATCCTGTTGAATGTTTCCTAATGTAAACTTAATTTTGGCACGAAGATCAATCAAAGATCAAGAATATTAAAGAAAAAGTATGAAAAGTAGATTAAAGAGGAAAAAAAACGACTTTACAAAAGAAAAACACACACACACACACACGCACACACACAACGTAAAAAAGTGAAGTAGAACAAAAAAATTTTGTTCGACTAGTCAGGTGTCTTTTTATAGTAGTCCACAAGTAGTCAAATTTGTCGATTGTCCTGTGTCTTAAAAGTCAAACACTCGTTAATCTAAATAAGGATGTACGTCGAGTCTATCTATGGCGTCCGTAAATAGCAACATGTAATATGACACTTACTTTCAAAACGTTAAACCTTTTGTCGTTTTCGATTTGTTGTTATATCAACTAAATTATCAACTTCGACTATTTTTATTCGTGTATGTAGAATTTCTTGACCGTTCAACTGTTCACATGCTTTATTTGCACTTTTAACAGTAGAATATGTAGCATACGCCATTCTTGGACCGCGCATACTGATATCTATTAAATTACCGAAACGATTAAATACATCACGAAGATAATCGTCTGGTATAGGACGTTGTGAAAATATCTGAAGCGTTTTTGCAACCTAGAGTTAACGAGAAAATTATTATATAAAAATTAAAAATAGTAAAAATACATACTGGACAATCAAATGGAGCATATTTTTGTTTCGGTGGTAACGGAATATTACAATGGTCTAAATATTCTTCTTGACTACCTTGAAGGTTACTCATCTAAATATAAGAATTAATATGTGATGAACAGATCGTAGGAAGTTTAAAAGGTGAATAATAATCGACTATCCAAATTGCTAATCTTTCGATTGTTTGTATTCTAAATACTACCAAACTTCTTTCTTTTAACTATCATACTTCATCTAAAATTTTGTATGATATACTAGAATTCTAAATTGTTTTCGACTGCTCGAAAGCTACAGTATAGTTTAAACTTGACTATAAATAGTAGCTAATTTTTACCTGATGAATTAATTGTCCGATTCCACATGTATCATAATTCCCATATTGAGAATTAACTAAATCAGCAACAATTCTAAAACATAAATATCCAAAATTAAAATATAATATGGTTAATCAGTTTTGAATGACCTACGTGTCATCGTAATATTGTACGGATAATACTTCTCCATCTGGAAATTGAAATGCATGTAATTTTTCTCGAGCATATGTTGCAAACTGACATGTTTTATAACGAATTATATAAAAATCTTAAAAAAAAAGACAGAAGAAATCAATATACGTGCCCGCTACTTGTGCTAAAGACTATGTATAATGGATAATAGTGATAGGAAGAAGCTCGATTTCAATATCTGGATTTGATCAAAAAGAGTAGGAAAATATTACGAATTGCAGTAAACAATAAAGTAGAAAATGAGCTCGGAAAGTGCTTAGCATAATTTCCCTTTATTTGGAACTTGTGTACATCTTCAGAAAACAACAACATATAATTTCAAGCTCAAAAGTCTTATTTTTCGAAGAAATTAATATTAGTTTGAAAATTTTTCTAAATTTTTTCTAATACCACTCGCCAGAAATAAGGAATTTTCTGGGTTATCGAGTGTACGGAATACGAAAAAGCACTTTTCTCGACCCTGCATAAAACTTTATTGTTTTCTTCACCTTGATATGTTTTTGTTTGTTAATAACAGAAAGAAAAAATGAGCGTGGGAAAGCTATAATGTCTGTGTTTAGCATATATATTGAAAGAATTATGCAAAAAAAGTCTGCCAGGAATGGGGATCGAACCCATGCTCACTATTGTGAATTGGATCTTAAGTCCAACGCCTTAACCACTCGGCCATCCTGGCTACGTCTAATCATTAAGAGAAATTAAACATATTAATCTAAACTTTTTATTTCTACGTATTGGTTGAAGTTGGACAAAAGTGAAAATAATGATAACAAAACAGAACGTACATTTAACATTTGAAACTTCATACTACTTGTGATAACTTCTGAAAAGCCTTGAGGCAACAGTCATCCACTACCAAAATCTTGGCTATACGCCTAGTTTTCAAGTTTTTGTCACATTAGAGATCTTTTTACTACAACGTCCAATCATAGTACATCAACTATCATTTGAGCAAAATAATGAAATATCCAAATGCTAAATATCAATTGGGAAAACTATCGAAAAAAGTAAAAATTCGACGGAAATCCCTCCCTAGTCGGCACTCCTTCTAAAGTCCCCCTATAACTCCCCCCAAATCCACCGAGGAGTCTAGTAGAGGTCCCGCGGGATCACATAGCGTTCTCAAGATATTGAAGGAGAGATTGATGAACTTCCAAGGGGATCCCCGGCAAATCCAACAAGCTGCCTAGGGGATCACCATGATGATCTGCCACACTCCCGCGGTGGTTCTCTGGAGAGTCTGGTGAATCACTCGGGAGTGATGGAGACTTAGTAAGAGATTTAAGAATAACTCATTAGACTCGTACGGTTTTCAGAGAATTTGGTATCTAAGGTTGAGGTACCATCACTGGTATCAATATGTACCAGTGTAATATATATCAGCCAACAAAGGCCGATACGTTACTAACAACTAACTAGAAGAAAATTCGTAAAATTTTATCAGAGACCTGTATTATATTTATATGTTGTCTATCTGCAAAATAAAAAAGGTAAATGGGGACTTCTGAATACTCTTTCTTGTTTTATTTTTATTGTTACGTTTCAACGTCAAAGACGCCTTTGTCAGACAAAAGTAAACTAAATGTGAAGAACATATAATTAATTAGAGTATATATATATGTAATAGTGCTGACGAAGAACAAGACGGAGACAAAGTGCTAAAGAGACAACGACTGATTATTGCTGTCTTGTTCTTCGTCAGCACTATTACATACATATAGAAAAAAATGGCAAAAACATCTTGACTCGACTCGACTCGAAGCCGCTACGAAATGACTCGGTCTCGGAAAGTAGCTTGACTCGCCCATCTCTGGGGGTCTCGACTACTGTTCCATAATCGTAGGTGAGTTTTGTCTAGGATAGAAAATTTGTTTTTTTGTTGACTCAATGCCTTTTAAACAATTAACTTTTGTCAGTTGAGTATTGTTTTGTAATGTATGAGCATGAAATGATGAAAAGCTGTTTAAAAAAATGGTTGCAACTCTAAGTAACGTTTGGTTTCTCTTAATGCTTAGACGTAGCCAGGATGGCCGAGTGGTTAAGGCGTTGGACTTAAGATCCAATTCACAATAGTGAGCATGGGTTCGATCCCCATTCCTGGCAGACTTTTTTCTTCTTTATCAAGAAGAAAAACAAGAATGCGCAAGTTCTATGCTATTTTTTCTCTATGAAAAGAACTAGTTTGTTTTCCTATAAAAGATATAATATAATTAAAACTATCTACATACGATCTCTAAGTGTTTGTAATTTAATTGGTGAACATTCTTCTAAGCCCGGAATCAAATCGAATAATTTTGAAATATGATAAAGATTAATATTGGCACTGCATCTAACAATCAGTCTTCGTTCTGTATTTGATTCTAATAAATTCGGATACGTAGATGGAGGACGAGGCATTGGTATCGGTAAACAAGAAACAAAATTTGGAGAACCTAAACATACAAAAAAAGGGATATTTATAAATGTCTATAATTGAAATAAACAAATACACTTGAAAAATATCGCGAAAATCATGACTTTCATCAGAACAACCTATTTTTTAAGTATCTGAGAATTTGGCTACAACAGTGGACAACATCTATCAAGTGTGTGTAAAACTAAGGAATTTTAATCAAATTCAGATATAAATGAAATACTACTAACGTGTTGTTGGTTCATTTAAGCGTGGTTGTTTTTGTAATAAACTATTTGGTTGATAATTATATCGTTCGACTGAGACTACGGGTGAGGATGAATGTTGAATATGTCGAGGTGATGTAGAGTTTGAAGGAGAAGAAGGAGTTGTTGTGAATATGGATGAGGATGGAGAATTTGGTTCTTCGCGATCACGATGACGTTTTGATGTTAATGGTTCAGCAAATTTTGGTTTGAAAGCTTGAACAATATACAGAAGGTAAAAAACATCTCTCGTTAAAAAAATAAGCTAATAAACAGTTTCTTCTGTTAAGAATGTTGCCGAAATGTGTATAGACTTTCAACTAATATGAGTGGATTGAAACTGATTACTAACATATATCTCAGATACTTTAATTAGTTATCACTTTATCCATTAAGTAGTTAAATGTCCATTCCTTACTTGTATCACATTCTTCAAGTGCTCGAGCTGCGTCGGATGCTTTTGAAAATGTTATATAACCAAATCCTTTATTATCACCCGTCAATTTATCTGTGACAACTTTAACATTATTAATTGTACCAAATTTCTATAGAAATAAATGTACGTTAATCACTAACAATATGTTTCAAATTAAACAATCAATTACTTCAAATGCTTTTTGTAAATCATCGTTAGTGTAATTTTTTGGTACTAATACAAATAATCTTAACATTTTTTCATGTTCATCAGGATCTCGAACACTTCCTTCACGTCGAGAACTTGATATTATTACCTGTAGAATAAATGAAATGATTGAATTAAATTTTTTTTTCTCAAATAGTTGTAGTTATCCTTACTTTCAATGGTCGAGAATGTGAACCAACTATTTTTCCATTCATTTCTTCTTGTGCACGAGCTGCTTCTGATGCTAATTCATATTTGATATAGGCTATACCTAAATAGTAGATCGATAAACTCATTATAAAAGATTTATTCACATCATTGTTCTATCTTGTCTATTGTAATAATTCAGAATTCATATTGCATATCTGATCAGTATACTTTCAAATTCTATGAGTTCTCTCTTACCTTTTCCTTCACTATTTCTTCTATCTCTGATCAACCACACATCTTCAATGACACCAAATTTTTTAAATGCATCATTTAGTTCTGATTCGCTCATTGCTCGTGGTACAAGTAAAAATAAACGACTAAATGGTGGATTATCAGCATCTGTTTGGTGATTATTTGAATGAGGAAGATGATTTTGATGAGATAAATTAAATGTACTATTTTTAACCGATTCTTTTGAACTCTCAGACATTTTACAAAATCTAAGAGATAAGAGAGAAATGGTAGATCTAAAATGAAAAAGAATAATCAGACGTTGAAAAGCATTAATACTTGAAAAATAAACACTGAACAATGAGAAGTTCGCGTCCATCAGCGCATTGAATCGCCATCTTTAGTTTCTTCAACTTCACGGGAAATTTATTATGTTGAACGCCTATTCACTAGATTAAATTATCAGATAACAGGCTCTGTACCAGATTTTTATTAAATTTTCTTGTCAACTGAAATTGTTGTTGTTTTTTTATAAAAGAAAGAAAACAAACCGATCATTAAAACCTTTGGAGGAAAAAAAATGCAATTGTATGTGTTTTGAAAGTAAGAGCGCGTGGTTGAATATAAATAGATGAAGTAAAAAAAAAACTATTGTTGTAATATGAAAAAAAAAAAACGTTTTTCAGATACAATCAATAACTAATAAAAACAATACCTAAAACTACCAACGAAAGACGTCTATATAAAAAACTATAGAAAGCTTGGATAAAATATATATATGGTTCTTTTTGTGTGTATGTGTATCACAATAATAATAAAAACAAAAAATCACCGTTCGTTGCGACCAAGTGAAAGAAAAAGTGTCGAAATACGCAGAAAAAATATTAATTTTTCTAGAAAAGAAGAAGAAGAAGAGATAGCTCAAAAATAATGTTCACAAGACGGCTTGAATATTTAAGAAAATCAAAATTCTAACGAAAAACAGTATATATGGCACAAATAAGGTGTGTCCACAAATTCATCATGATATTTTTAATACTGTTGAGATTAATATTTTTAATACTATATGTTTGCTGTTTATAAATGCAGATTATCTAAATCGTACATTGTTTCCAATAATGTTGACATACTCCATGCTTGAATTTCACATGAATATGGACAATGTTGTCCATTTGCATTTGTCAATTCGGGTAAACCTTTCCAATCTGTCGAGAAAATGAGTTGTTGATGTGCAGTTAAAATATCTTGAACATGTTTAATTGTTTGTTTCAATATACCCTTCATTTTTGAATCTTTTTCTAACACAGATGACCAGAGCAATTTTGCCCGACAATAATAACCCATTAACCATAACCATTCTGGTCCATTATGATAATTGTAACCACGTGCACGTTTAGGATCCGATGAATCATCGTCGTTCACATAATCACCAACGTAATTTGAATCACTAGAAAAAGAATGAGCATAATAATTATTGAACATACTAATTAAAATCAAACATTCTTTACTTTGGATCTAACGTTTTGATTCCATATTTTCCGAGTAGAATATGCTCGACTTGTTTCAATGCTGGCCAAATATGTTCAACGTTAAACATTTCTGGTGCCACAACGCATGTTACCAACCAATTTGGTCTCAATTGATAATCACTCCATTGTAACGTTGAATTGATCGTATCTTTATAAATTTGTCGACGATAAATAAAATGACTTGTTTGATCGAGTTCATCGATCCAAAAATATTTTTCAAAATTCGAATCGATTTTATTCATCCATTCTTGAAATTGAATTTCATTGGCTGTTGATGAAACGATAGCCGAATGAATGTTGGATGTGGAAATTTTAATATTGTCATATGGATAATAACCTTCTTTGTTTGCTTTAATGAGCCATTTGAGTGTAGCACGACACAAACCAACTAATTCGACAGCTGAACCATCACGAGGAGAACCAGGTTTGCCTTTGTTACCGGCTTTAGCACTCGATCCCATTTTATCCTAAATAAAAATTGCTTATAAAAACTATATAAATTCGAGCTGGCCAGTGTTCACAATTGTTCTTGGGTGTATAATGGGCAGAAGTTTTGGGTCCTGTAGATGTTTGCAATTTATCTCACCGTTTGTCGGATAAACTGCTCGGGAAATCAAGAATGAATTTTAGAAACGGCGAAAAATAAAACTTCATTTACAACTGTTGAGCATTCGCAACGACTTTTTGAAAGAAAAACATGACGACAACGCAGAAACTGTTAAAGATAAAATATTCTCATAAAAATGACTCATCATAGACCTTTTACCAGAAATATATCTTAAAGATAGGTTTTTGGCCATTATTTGACAGAAAAAAAGTAAACAAATACTTAGGTATATCCAGACATGTGCGCCGATTAAAAATTTTCGGCGGCGGCGAATGAAATTTTTAGCATAGACGGCGACGGCGCGAGGTTATGAAAATTTTCGCTGCCTTCGGTGGCGGCGTGTAAAAATTGGTTATCGGCGGCGAATCACCTAATTTAAGTAAAACAACTTTCTCTTTCATTTCCGGCACGTTCTTCGCGCCCCAACTATATCGGTACGTTGCCGTATACGAAAAGATAGAAAAGTGCTGCATGCTGGATGCCTAAGGTAAGAACGTACTAACAAAAATAGTCAGAATGCCTTGCGTTCTCTGAAAAAATTTTCTCTGCGCTTGGCGGCGACAAAAGTTTAGCGGCATGGCCGCGGTGGCAGAAGGCGCAATAATTTTTTCTCCGCCTTCAGCGGCGGCAAATCGGCGAACCGGCGCCGCGGTGCACATCTCTGGGTATATCATCATCGTCATATGAATTTTTCTCTGTTTGATATACAGTAGCAAATAAAGAAGTGCCGTGCTATAGCGCTGGCACATCTTCTATTACATGTCAAAACTTCAACAAAGAGCTACAGAAAACTTGTCCACAGCAAGTCTTCAATTTTGAGGGAGAAAATCCTCTCCCTAATCGTGAAGAACGATACAGATCATGATAAGCTTACCATCCACGTTCCACAATTGTGTGAATTTCCACCGTAAACAAAACCAGTTTCAAAATCGACACCAATTCGATTATTAAAGCCTTCATCTGACATATCCATATCTAAGTTGTAGCCTGCTCCACGTTCACGATATGTCAACGATTGTGCATGTCTCGTCAAAGCTTCTTGGATAACTTCATATAAATGTTGATCATACAAACCAGGTGGTTGTGGTTGTGAATCATGGGTAGGATACAAACGGCTAACTTTATCTTCTAAAATTTCATGACCATGAGGTGCCATATGAATATATTCTCCAATTGAATACAACCACCACCAAACAGCATCTCTAGCATTATAACGTGCTATGCGACCATCACCTAATAAATTAGGTATAAGACCATGACGTAAACATTGACCATAGCCAAGTATCAAATATCTAAACATAATGAAAGAAAGAAGATATTAGATCTGATCCTAATTTTAGGAAAAGAATATCTTATGAAAACATGAATCAAGGTATATTAGTACTGTTTATCGTTGTTTGTGAAAATAATAAAAGTTTTACCTTGCTTCGTCAAATCTTCCTGTTATTAACATGAGTCCTCTTAATGCAATAAAAGTATCTCGGCCCCAATCTAAAAACCATCAAATATTTGATCAATTAGTCAATTTTTAGAGTCGATAGACATATTCCTCAACTTACTTCGCCAAACAGCGGCTGCAAAGTGAGGTAAACCGGCACCCAATGTTGGACACAATGGGTATTTCAAACCAGTACGATCATCGGTTAATTCAATCTAAATAATAAATAAGTAACAATGACTTGTACTCAATTTCAAACCATACATACTGGTTTTGGTTCTTTTAAATTTGGTGATAATGCTGGTAGTTGTGCATCTTTGACTAATCCACATAATATGACGCTAGCCATTGAGAGAGCTCTCACAAATGTTGAACCTTTTTGTACAAATGGCCCCATTAATCTCCATGCATGTTCAATTAAAACAGTATATGATCCGGTGATAATTAAATCAAAATAAGCGGGTAGTAAATGTTTTGGTAAACGTTTTAGTTGTCGAAAACATTTTTCGTACCATTGCCCAATTGCTTGTGTACCACGATGTTTGATAAGACGTGATGAAATATAATCTAAGCACCAAAAACCATCTTTCAAATGCTGACATAGAGGATGTTTCAATTCATTTGTCAAACGAATTTTTTCTAATACAGACATAAAACCCTGTAAACCACAATAGACTAATTTACCTAAAACGGCGAAACAAAACTAAATGCATTTCATCTCAAATATTATATTAGTGCAACTTACCATATCCCGGTATTTCATAAACATCAATGCCCAATCCATCTGCTTGTTCTTCGTTTGAATTACGATAGAGTACACGATTTAAATCGAGTAATGTTAACTTATTAATAATTTGTTGAAATTCACTTGCACCACTTTCATCCGTGAATTCGTTTAGATTTTTTCGTATTTCAATAATGGAATTTTGTACTTGTTGAAGTAATGATACTTTAAAACAGATAATAGTACCTGGTGGAAAATGTTTATCGAATGTGATATGGCGATCATTATTGTCTTCTCGTCGATTCGATGAACGTAAATTGACGCATTGACTTTGATCAACGGGTAAATGTTCACGAATCTGCACTGTCACTTGTTGTAAATTATTGATATAGGTTTTGTCACGTACAAAATTCTTGACAGCAGCAGCACCATTCGAAATAGATATAGTCATTTCATACAAAACTTCATCGATATGACCTGCAAATAACAAATGCAGATCAACAGTAGACATAATGATTGTCTGAAAGTAGTATCTTACCGTTAATATACAATGGTTTTATTTGTTCCCAAGTATCTTTTGGTTCCGAAAATGCTGTATGGGCAATAAGAATAATTGATTGATGATTATGCAAGTTATAACGAGTTATAACCAGTGCCGCGGTCGACAGTTGATCAACAGCCATCTGAAAGCAAAGTCTCATATATTAATAAAGATATTAAAAAGAAATAATAAAAGACAGATATTAATCTCTGTTTGAACTAACCTGATCATATCCTTTACTACATAATTCATGATGTAATTTATTGAATATTAATTTCGCCGGTATTAAATTAGTTGATTCATTTGATTCCCGTTCACCATTACCTGCTTTTGGATAAAAACGACGCTCATGAACAACATCAATCTATAAAGCGAAATAAAATTGAATAATATATCATTCATTAAACGCTGTGCTTTTCTCTCCATTACATGATGAGGTACAAGTTCATCGTAGCCTCTATTTGATCCATTGGCGCAACATGCCATTGCTACACACGCAGCACGAGGTAATACATCTTGAACACTACGACGCTAAAAAGAGATAGTGAACAAAATGAGTAAAATGAAGAAAAAATTCTTTAAAAAGACTAGTTACCTCAATGGGGCAAGGATTATCGTGAGTTTGATCGTAATAGAATGAATGTGTCATTAGTGGCAATATTGGACGACAAGATGGTTGAAAAAATGAACCAATTGCATCACCACCAAAACGAGCTGTTAAACGGCCTAATTCGTACGGATCCCAAGCATGCATACTCTCTTTTTTTTGGAAAAAAGAAAAACAAACAATCAATACGAAAATAAGACAATTCTTCACACAAATGAACATTAACATTAGGTTATAACTCTTTTTTTTAGATCATAAACGTTAGTAGAATTGTTAGAATAAACCGATAGCTCTCAACACGTATCTTACCTCTGACAAGTGAATTGATAGCCAATTTGTTCACAAATACTGTATCAGTTTGATCACTACCAGTGAACAATTCAGCTAATATATAAAATTCTGGGTTCAATTCACGAGCATAATCCATCAATGTCTTGAATAACAAAAACAGTATATTTATACAAAATCATCGTTCTTAGATATGCGATAGTTTTTTTAATTTAAAATACTAAGAGTATACATGTTCGACATACCTGTGCTACAACCAACGGTGTTGAATGACAATTATCTAATCTTGCGCCATGAAATGTTGTTGCTACTAATCTTGTATATTCTTTCATATAATCCCACAATGCTGGTGAATCTTCATATTTTTGTCCAAATCTTAATTTAATAATATCTGACCATTGTAATAAATCTCGTCGTAAATAAACATCTTGACCTTCTTCGGCAAAATTTCTCAATGGATCATCATTCATTACCCATCCATTGTGTGCCATACAATACGACTGATATGTAATATCTGTTTCAATTAATTGTTCAATTTCATCTGGATGCTTAAATTCACCATTTGGATATGCAAAATAATTGCCAACAAATGGTGTTTGCAATGTGATACGTTCAAAATTTGGCCCATCGTGGGCAAAAAAATGATATCGACATGCACCCAGTGTATTATCTACAGCTCGAACTAAATGTTCTTGAATTTTATCGTTAACTATATGATTTAAATAGATGAGACGATCAGAGAGTGCTTCACATGCTTGTTCGATATCGTCATGCGATGATGGACCAGAACGTTTATAATAATAAATTTGAGAAGCTAGAAATAGAGAAAACAAAATGAATTCGACTGAAGTTCATAGTAAGTTTATGAAATATACCCAAGTCTAAATCCACTGTTGATTTCAATCGTTCATACTTTCCATGTTTAATTTGTATTAGATGATCTTCTTCACTATAAGGTACAAGTGGACATTCTAATGTTGAAAGTAATTCTCGAAACTCTTTAAGAGTTTCTTCAACATTTATTGTATAATATTCGTGCAATTTATATTTAGGTAATAAATCATTCAAGAAATAACGCCGAATCACTGGTAAATGTTTATCTTTAATTGCGGATGGTATACCTGAAAAGACAAGAAATAAGAACAACTCTATTTTCAGACAACACTCTTATTAATGATAAAAAAACAAAAACTATTCATATATTCAGTTGTTCGTAGTGGAATTGGTTTTCGCTAAAATTTGAGTGAAAAACGATATAGTAGCCGCACAATACAACGGCAGAACTTCATCAGATACATTTGTGCAATAAACTAACAATTCATCTAGTACCTTTTGGTTCTAGTACACCATCTTGACAATCTTTTGTAAATTGCATCAATATAGCATCTAATAAAAACGGTGGTTTTAAATGTGGTGAATTGACCAAATTATAAGCAGCTTCTGGATGTTCTTTGAGCAATTCACAATCATTAGCTGCATGATTATACACAAGATCTGTTATCGAAAATATTCGCCATTCTTTAGCCATTTTATCTACCAATTTTTTAATATCATCGTGTGTCGTATTTTCACCAAATAGTGGATTTAATATATGATGATTGGTAATGGCGTATGATGAATTTGATATATGATACAATTTTTGAATTGGTGTAAAATGAACCATATTATATCCAGAATATTTACTTATCAATAAACGTGATTCCCATTCTTCAAACGGACCTTAAAAAACATAAAAGAATATAGTCATCTATCCGTATCTGAATACAACTCAGTTTTGTTTACTTATTATATATTAAATAAAATACTTGAGCCTGATGTTATTTGGATGTAGTTCTTACCTAATGATTTGGATAAAACAGATTGGCATTCGATACAATCAATGGGTAAGACATCACCAATACCATCTGGAAATGTTAATTTCGGTTCAACAATGAAATAACCACTACCCGACAAGTTTTTTTGATCATCACTCCCATCTACTGTAAAGTAATAATGAAATGATCCTGATTTAACACATTCAATAGAAGCATAACGACTTGAACTATCATATTTGCATTCTGATGGATAAAGCCATTCTAATTCACGATATTGTTCACGAACAAATGGTAAATGAGATTCTCGTGGTGAATTTGTGAATAGGCGAACATTCGTTGCAGCTAAAATAAAGAAGAAAAAGATTTAAACATTCAATAAGTCCTTAACATGCGAATTTAGCAATCTAATCTAATAGACCAAATATTCATAGGAACAGTGAGTCTTATTCATTAAAATAGTTTGATCATAGATTTTTGAATTCATACTTACATAAACTACTTGATAAGACTAATCGTAAAATCCATGAATTGGATACACGATATAAACCATTCACAAATGTTTCACCTTCAACTAATGTTAATATTCGAACTTCCCGTTGTGCTTAAAAGAAAGTAGATAAATATAAGAGTCATTTTTTCAGGATATATAACTTATATTTGATAAATGATCTCAGCAGATCGTTTATTTTATCTTATTTTTATTTTCTATTTTACTTCTAAGGTGATGCAGGCATCACGTGGATGAACCGTGGTATAGAACATAAAAAAAAGTCGAGGTTCATAATCTGGGTTGTACTCTAAATTCCTTCCACTTCGGTACGAGAACACTGATTCAGAGTATCCATTGGCGAGCAACCGCACAAATATGGAGGTTTGAAATTTCTTTCGTTTGTTTCGAAAAATGAACTCTTCTCCTTTTCTTTTGAAGAGATGAACTCTTCGAACCAAGATCACGTGACCTTTAAATAGAAATACTATTGTCTTTGCAAATTCTAGTTAGAATTGTAGAGGGGGAAATCGCATATGTTTTGAACAAATAATATGATTTTATTTTGTTATATTTTATGGGTGTTTCACATAAATCATACATTGAAACTTGTTTATCTAACAAGTAGATAACGCAAGATTTATTAGTGCAGTGAGTTTCCTTCTTGTCTTAAAAAAACGAAATGTGTATGAACACTCAATCTCGAAACGTTCCTTACATGGTTGCTGTTGTACAGTGGTCGTTTTTGGTTGAGATTCTGTCGCTATAGTTGAGTTTTGCTGTCCTTGCACCATTTTGTTTTCAGCACTTTGTTGAAGTTTGGTTGTCGTATTATCATTTGCAGCACTCATTCTTCTGTTCAATTATACCGACATTATTTATTTGTTCACTTCTATATAATAAAAGAAAAATATAAACTAGAAAATGTAATAATACAATAGATTAGATGAGCAGGATATTCTCGAACCCATTGACCCAGATAAACAAACAAATAACGAAAAGTCTGTCATTTCATTGGCCAATTTTGAAAACAGATCAGAAGTTTTGAGATAACCTCGCATGCAATAACAAATGTATTCGTTTGAAATTTATTTCGATCTTATTTTAGAAAATGCCACAGCTATTAAAACTTGCTTTTGAGCGATTAATTTTTTTAGCGCAAGTCAGTACTAAACGTTAGCGCTCTCGTATCACTTATATTATGGCAACCATTCATGACTTTGTTCAGTTATCTGTGGATAAAATTTTCGACTCGATCAGATAAGACGAAGTTTCGACGGGTCTGTAATGCATTCCAATGAAAACTATCAGTAGTGTGCTCTAACCTTCGAAACAAAATGTCATTTTTTTCAAGGCAGTTGAGTCGATGCTTATATCTTGGCGAAAAATCATTGGAAAATTCTTCGAGATATGTCGTTGTAAAGAAACTCTTTCCTCTATCAGATCAAGGCTGCGTATAAGAAATTTCTTTTAGAACACTTAACGGCTCCTCTCAGAAATTATCTCCGATACCGTACATCCGTTTTTGATGAAACTTTCCATAAATGTTAGGCACAATGAGTTAGGGGAATGAAAATTTTTTTCTCTCTAAGTCGTATCGTTCAGGAGTTTTTCAGACATCAAAGTTCAAAAAGGATCCTGAAGTTTTTCCCAAGATTTTTTAATATACTTCAAGCTAGAGACATCGGGTTTGTTTTATTTTAAACTAGATAACTAACTACATGGCTTGCCCGGCGCCGATTTTTCAATTAAGTCTTTCGTCCCTTTCTAGAGACCCAACAACATTGAAACCCCCAAACCTCCTGTTGAGTCTTCTAGAGATCCTTGATTTTCTAAACCACTATGGTCTAATTGAAAAATCGACTCCCATCCACGTGGAATTCTTCTCTTTCGATTAAAAAAAAGAAAGGCTCTCTGTGATGTGAACCATTATTGAAAAAAGTGCCGTTCACTGAGCATGCTTGCACAAAAAGTGTGTTCGGAGAGAAAACGCTGTTCATTGGTTGGTCCATTTTAGGGCTTGTAGAAAAATGCTTGTAACTTTTTGATGCAAGGTCATATGAAGTTGTGCAAGGTCTTATTTTCATCAGAAAAGTTTGCTCTACAAATCTACGCGCTCAGACAATCATTTAATTACAAAAATACCCAGGAAAAACCTATTATTCGAAGAGTCTGTTTTTCGAGGCTCCTAGAAAACTTGCTCGAAAGCTACGAAAAGTCATTTCTAGGACCGCAAGCGATGCAGATTCTGAAAGTAGACACTTCAAGCTATTTTTCCGTGTGCATATCTCAAAATCGATTTTTTGACCGAAAGCCATCGTTTCTGAGAGCAGCTATTAAAAAGAGACAAAACTTGAGTTTCTTTTAAATGTCTGAGAAAAATTTAAAGAACTTATAGGATTTTCTAAAAAAAGATTATGAAAGGCTGAGAATAGTCTTTTTTCTACATTAAATTATGTTGAATTCAAAATTGAAAATTTTTAAGAAACAGAAGAGCTGCCTCTAAGGGGTGCTTCCACACAGATCCGCCCACTTTATACAGAGCATCTTGCCGCGAAAACGTCACTTTGCCCATCGTGTAGAGCATCAAAAATAATCTAAAGATCTCGCTTACGCTTTTTTGAAAAAACGTGTGGAAAGTGGTTTTCTAGACACCTCAAGTTTTTGGTGAGGGTGAAATCGAAGTCGGTGAAAATGAACGAAACATTACATAGTTATACATCAAATTGTAGCTCTTGACGAGTTGATTCTAATGATGAAGGAATTTGGTCTCGATCTAACTTTACATTCGAGTGATACTCCATTTACTTGAAAACTTCCTGAAGTTTGACCTCGACTTTCTCCTAAACGCTGCGAAAACTTTTCGAGATTTTTTCAGGATAGAAACTACTTAGTAGAATCTATAACTCTGCTCATACAACTATCCTCGACACTTTCCATTTCACACTTTCCATTTTTGAAAAATGGAAAGTGTCGAGGATAGTTGTAGGAGCAGAGTTATAGATCCTACTAAGTAGTTTCTATCCTGAAAAAATCTCGAAAAGTTTTCGCAGCGTTTAGGAGAAAATCGAGGTCAAACTTCAGGAGGTTTTCAAGTAAATGGATATCACTCGAATGTAAAGTTAGATCGAGACCAAATTCCTTCACCATTAGAATCAACTCGTCAAGAGCTACAATTTGATGTATAACTATGTAATGTTTCGTTCATTTTCACCGACTTCGGTTTCACCCTCACCAAAAACGTGAGGTGTCTAGAAAACCACTTTCCACACGTTTTTTCAAAAACGCGTGAGCGAGACCTTTAGATTATTTTTGATGCTCTACAGGATAGGCAAAGTGAAATTTTCGCAGGTAATCGTGAATATAATAGTGGGCGGACCTGCGTGGAAGGACCCTAAGTTTTGTGTTTCCTATCGTATCTAGAATAATGATTCCTCCTGTTTTAAGACTATATTGGAGGCAGCGATGATGTATCCAGCACCCGGCCAGGAAATTTCTTTTCCTTCATTTCGCAGAAGAAAAAGATATTTTGGTTGAAATTGAAAATAAACATAGTACACAAGAACTGTTTTTACTTTTTTATTTGACCAAAAAAGGATTGGATCTACCCCTTACTGAAATTCTGAGTATGTCGCTGATCGGACGAATGTGATTTCTATGTGCTTATAACTAAGGCATGCTTTTCAACAATGATATAAATAGATTAGTGATAAGTTTTGTTTGTGTAGTAATGGTGAAAAAGTTTTACTGAAGGTCTACGCGGTCAAGACTTTTGCTTACATTTATAATTTAAAGGTGAATAATTTTCACATCAACACATGTATCACTAGACAAAAGATGCAACACCTAAAATTTCTTTATCATTTCTAATCAATTAATTTAACATCAGTTCATCTAACTAATGGATGTTTATTTTTCAATGAGTTCAAATACATTTTTCTTTTAATTTTCATATTAATTTTTTTGACGTTAAAATTGAATTATCATAGATCGTTCTAAAATAGGCATTTCGTTCAATAACGCCTTTTACCAACGATAATTTATTCCATGTTTTACCTTTGAATAGACCATGTTCTTTTGTTCGAACAAAATAATGTTGTAAACGAACTTGTTTCATATCCACGAATAATACTTGACTTTTCTTATTTTTACTTTTATGCCAGTGTGGTGTTAATTCTTGAATAAGACCATACTTAATCATTTGTTTACCGTTACCATTACCACATGATGTCCAACCACCAACTACGGAACAGTTAAAAAGTTGTTGAATATCATCACCATCATATTCACCTAAAAACACTTTTGTCTATGAACCAAATTTAAATGTATTCTAATATCTGAGTACCTAGCCCTCTATGTGGTCGTCGATAAGTATTTGTTTCTAATAGACTTTTTTTAAATAAATCAGTGGTTTTCTCGAGCATATAACCAAATCTTAGATCATTAAAATGAAATTGATCATATTTGTTATAATTATCTCGTATATACGTTGAATTTCTTATGTTTAGAAATTCATCAGTATCTTGTATCATTAACAAATCATAATCTCGAATTGTAGTGAAACATGTCAAACATAAATCAAAATGTTGGTGTTTATCTGTTGTATTATAATTAATAATAACAATTTTATTTCTATATTTTTTAGTGATATTTTCACTGATATTTTCACCAACGTTGATTAGACAAATACTTTTAAAACCGACAACATTTAAATTATGATCTAACCATTCAGTTAGAAACATATCATCATTCATAACCTGCGTACATAGGTAGTATGAAAAATTTGGTTGCTCAACGATGTTAGTGATGGAAGCATTTTTAGAATGAAAACTAACATAGTAAACAAGAATTATGCATATGAAAAGTAATAAATAATAATACTTGTTTTTTAGCGTTTGTCTCATGAAAACGTGTGAAAGTGTGTGTATGCATGAAGAAAAGGTAAAAGTCTGATAGAACTTATTTGATAACATACACAAATTTACGCATCACTAAACCGTTCTATAACGTACGTATAATATATGCAAAAAAATAAAAATAAACAAGTTTGTTTTTCAAGCAGGTAGAACAAAATGATTTGATATTTAGTTTTAATAGTAGTCATAGTGAACTACTGTTGAAATGTGAATAAACTCAGATGAAATTGATTCCTTTGATTATATAACTCTTAAGAAGACGAGAAGTGATTTGAAGACCCAGTCGTATTTAGGCTGATTGTATCTGAGACATTTGAGACTCTAGACAACAAATGATAATTCTTTATTTCAACATCAAAAATCACGCACACAAAAAAGAATTATCGTTCGTCTTTCAAACTAGAATACGTGGTTTCATCGTTAATTAGTACCGAATTTCATGGATACATAGGCATCACACACAGTTTTGTGTTCTGTTCAAGATGTGGCTAATGTCGAAAAGTTTAGTTTGAATATTTTCATCCTAAAGAAGATAAATATTCATAATCACCTTTAATTACATGCATAACTCCTCGTCTCATCTTCAATTTCTAAGGGAGCTTTCTTTTAACCTAAGACATTTTTAAATATTTAGCGGATATTAGAAACATGACTACAACCATTTAACATCATCGGGTTCAGATGCATTGATCTTTAGAGCAAAGAGCCTGTTTAGTTGTGCTAAATCTAATAGACAACACACTTACCTCTCATTTCCAGTCCCAACGAAATATTTTATAACAGTTTCTACATTATTTGGGTTATTAACTGAACTATGTTTTAGCACTGGAAAATATTAAAGGTCATAGTAGGCATAAGTTAGGATCTGAATATCGCGCCTCAATCTGATGATAAAAAGTGGTTGATTTATATAAAAAGTCAATCCGTAGTCTTAGTCATATGTTTGACAATTAGTAAAGCTGCTTTTGTATTGCAGTTTTTTCTATGCTCTGTAGACGGGTCCATCCTAAAGAAAATGTATCATTAGAGCAGTGATACGTTTTTTTAAGAATGGTTTCATCGCTAATTAGTAAATTTGTATCGAATTTCATTGGTACATAGGTCCTTCCACGCAGGTCCGCCCACTATTACATTCACGATTAGCTGCGAAAATTTCACTTTGCCCATCCTGTAGAGCATCAAAAAATAATCTTGAAAAAACGTGTGGAAAGTGGTTTTCTAGACACCTCACGTTTTTGATGAGGGTGAAATCGAAGTCGGTGAAAATGAACGAAACACTGCATAATTATACATTAAATTGTAGCTCTTGACGAGTTGATTCTAATGGTGAAGGAATTTGGTCTCGATCTAACTTTACATTCGAGTGATACTCCATTTACTTGAAAACTTCCTAAAGTTTGACCTCGATTTTCTCCTAAACGCTGCGAAAACTTTTCGAGATTTTTTCAGGATAGAAACTACTTAGTAGGATCTATAACTCTGCTCATACAACTATCGTCGACACTTTCCATTTTTCACCCTCGGTTTTCCAGAAAACCCGTTAAAATCTTACTTGATTGCAAAGAATAGCTTTTGAACTATTATGACTCTATATTCCTGTTCAGCATTAACAATTCAATGTATTTCAATGTTTTCTGAGGCTTCTTTGTATTTCCACACCGCAGTTTTCTAAGAAAATTTCTGGAAAACCGAGGGTGA